CTCATTTTAAAATATTTAGGTGGCGACTCTGTATCTGGCAAAGCAGTCCATGTTTGGCACTTCTTTTCAAAAATCTGTTTCTCAAAACGATTTGCCGGATTTGGACTCTTTGGTTCAGACTCAGAACCGTGACACAAATCGAGTCCAAACTGTAGCGAGGCCCACGGGCGCGTCTACAGAGGTAAGGATGTAATAACCCACATTTATGTCGTAGTCATGTTCATGAACATTGGTATGATTATGACCCGTTAAGCTTGCATTTGCATAATTATGACTTGTTTTGCCTATGTAAGATCCATGCCTTGTTTTGATGTCTATGTGATTTGTCAAAGTGTTGTGTGCTTGCTTTGTTCCTTCCTTGATACCTCGAGCCTAAGTTATGTTAGCCGAAGTTATGCCAAGCCTAGGTCACGTTATGCTTAGATCATTCCAAGCCGAGGTCATCCTCAGTCTAGAAGTATCTTGGAACCCATTTGTTTGACCTCCACCTTCGCCCTGGCATATTGGCCGAGATGTCATTATCTAGGCCGAGGTGTGAATCACCAAGGCCGAGATGTGTATCATCTAGGCCGAGATGTTACCTTTGCACCTGAGTCACCTTGTCCTAGAGTGGTATGACCTAGACCGAGGTGTGGCGCATCTAGGCCAAGGTGTGGCACAGCTTAGTCAAGTGTTGTCCTTCCTAGCTGAGGTCATTGTCACCTTAGTTGCCGAAGCCTTGTCCTTAGCCGATGTCATCACTTGCCGGAGCACCATTCCGAGTAGCTTGTTAGATACGCTTTGTCATAGTCTTGTCTTGTCAATCCATCAACTTTTGAGGAGAACTAATCAGCCGCTGCCACGCGTCCGAGCTGAGAGTTAAGTCAGCCGATAGAGAGAGAAACCCCTCATTTGTTCCTAAACTTGTTTGAAGAGAGAGAGAGAAGCTCTAGAGGAGGTAGAAGAATTCTTGAGAGAGAGTGGATTTCTAAGCTTGATTCCTAGAGATCGAACCGTTAGATCCGTGTTCTAAGGTTAGATTCTTAATCCGCTCTTGTTGTTCTTTATGTTTATGTTATTGTATTGCATCAAACATATGGAATTAAAGGATGATAACAAGGTATACAACCACCAACTCCACGGAACCAAAGTCTAGAGTACAACAAATACAGAAAGGGAAAACTGGAATCGCAATAACCTTCCCCCTTAAAGAATTTCATCCCCGAAATTAAATACAAGTTTTTCAAAAACAAGATTTTCTCAATTCCCAACATTGTTACAATGCAAAATTCAATAACTCGACCCATTACCGGTCATGTCATCTCTTTTCAAGAGGCAAATTACAACGTTTTTCACAACATGCATTATAGATATGCATTCCTTGAAATTCTACAAATTTCAATACCACATTCCACAATTTTATATCATTTGCAACATTAGTATCATGCTTGCACTTCCACAATATATTTGACATACACAATGTTAAAGTAACTTCCATTAATCACAACATATACAATGTTTTACAACTTAAGACATATTTAATGCTCTTAAAGTTCAACAATATTACAAAATTTCCAAAACATGATTACACATGAACAAATAAGTCCAGATATTTCTCACGGATCTCCAACTCATGTTCCCAAGTGGCTTCCTCCACTTC